GCCGTGGGCTTGGGGGACTGGCGCCAGAGGCTGCTCCTCCCCTCGCCCTTCTGCAGCCTTCGGCAGCTCCAAGGATACCACATGCTCAGGAGCACCCCACGCCCACGGGCTGTCCTACCTGTGATGGGCAAACAGTCCTGAGGCATATTCCAGCAGGAGGAATTCCCTCATGTTGGAACCAAAGCTGGAATGAAATCCAACACAGACCGGGACTCGGGGCCTGCTCCGTTCAGGGCCCTTTTCCCAGCCCAAGTTCCCTCCATGGCCTGGTGGTGAGGCCTGGTGCGCCTGGCCCACTTACTAGAGGTTATGCGACTGGAGGAGTCTGCAGTGATCCAGCAGGTCTGTCAAGTGGGCCACAAACCACCAGTTGCTCAGGGCAATGCTGCAGAGTCAGACACCAGGCAGGTAGGAAAGTCAGGGGGGCCGCGGCCCGTGAGGGTGCGGGCAGGAACCCGCACCCCTGTGCTGCGAAGTCCAAAGATGCCACGTGCTGGTGAGCACGAGGGACAAGGGAGCTCCTGCACGCTGCGGGCGGGAACGGAGGCCAGCACGCTACTGGGGCAGACGTACAGAGACACCTCAAAAACGAATGGGAATGTTTTCCCTGGCAACACATGGAAAGGAAGTGGGCTCACTATCTCAGAGACGCCTGCGTGTTCCCAGCAGCACTGTCTGCTAGCCAGGGCAGTCAACCCAGTCGCCCATCTGGGGGCACGGACGAGGAAGATACGGTGGGGCAGGCCCTGCAGCATGGTGGGTGAGCACTGTGCACTGGAGTCAGACCCCACATGGCCAACCCAGGTTCAAATCCTGGCCCTGACAACTTGAGAAACATGCTAGACATGTGTGTGCACACGCCTAGGCTCACGATGGGGTGGGGAAATGGCAGGAGAAAGGACTGCAGCGGCACGACCAGGGTCCATGGGAACGGAGGTGCTTCCTCTCCCCCATGAACGCACACAGCCTCTGGCCAAAAAAAAAGGTTGGAATATGTATACATCCATAATGGAATCCACTTAGCCTTAAAAAAGAAGGAAGGGTTGGGGCCGGTGGGTGGCGTGGTGGTTGGGGTGCTAGACACTCCCACATGGCTGACCGCGGTTCAAGTCCCAAACCTGGTGGTTTGTTTTCTCATTCACTTTCTCTCTCTCTCTCTGGTCAAATTAAAATAAATGAATGAATAAATTAAATAAGTCATTTAAAAAAAAGAAGGAAGGGCTGACATGGCAGCCAGATCCTACAGAGCTAACCGCATGGCTCGAAGCCTGGATTCAGTGACTTGCAAACAAGTTGGGCGTACATGGGTGGAAAAGGAGGGAGAGGCGGAGGAAAGGCCACTGCAGTGTAACCATTCCCCATGAGGGTGCTTTCTCCCTTTCTGGCAAATGGGTTAAGGTACTGGATCCCACATGACTGGCTGCACAGTTTGAATCCTGGACCAAGCAGATTAATAACCATGCCAGGTGCATGTACATGCCCAAAATCCCTAGAGAAGACTAGAGGAGGGACTGTGGTGTGGTCACCCCACTGGGGGCGATTTTTCACTTTCCCTCTCTCTGGTGAGTGACACACCCTACAAAAAAATACTGACAAAAAAAAAAAAAAAGTTGTTGGGACCAGTACTTGGCGTAATGGCTATGTTGTTGGACTCCCATGTAGTCGACCACAGTTCGAGTCCCAGACCCACTGACTTAAACTCACGCCGGGCGTGTGTGCATGCCTTCCCAAGATCCTGAGAGGAGAATGGAGAAGGGATTGTGGCGTGGCCTTTCCCCCTTGGGGGGGTGATTTCTCGCTGTCTGTCTCTCTTTCTGGCAAGCACACGCACCCCATAGCAAAAACCTCTCAAAAAAAAAAAAAAGCAAACACTTTAAATACATAGAACTTTTTCCCAATCATAAAGCGAGGGAAAAAAAATGGGAGGCACGGATGGGTGAAGAGAAAGGGCTCCTCTGCCTCCCAGAGCTGCTGACCCAACTACTGGCTGATAGTTTGGCAGAACAGCCAGAGATGCGGCAGGAGGCTGTGGGGGGCCCCAGAGCTAAGGGAGCCAGTGCACGCCCTGGCCTGCACAAACACTCCCAGGCAGAGAGGGGATGCAGCAGCCTCCCTGGCCAGTGGGCAGCAACCGCTGAAGGGGGAGAACTAGGGCACAGGGGACTCAGGGGGATGCAGAGCTGGCGAGCCATCACAGCCTCCCTGCAGGGGAGGCAAGCACGAGCTGCTGGTGAGACTCTGGATCCCCACATGCATACACTGAAGGATTCTGGGAGCACGGCCTCCACAGAGGCAGACGGCGCGTGCCTGAGACCCTGCCACGCTGAGGGCGAGGGAGGGAGATGGCAGGTGAGTAGACCCCGCTGAGAACGCCTCTCCCGGCTTCTCTCTAGTGCATGTGCTTGCCAACATCAATTTTAAAAAGTACAAGGATGGCCCACACTCACTTTCATGGGATAGAATCATGAACCAGATACATCACGCCCCAAGAGCGAGGCTTCCCCACCCAGCCCAACTCCAGAAACACATCCCCCTGCCCCCCAGGATCTCCCGTGAGTCTGACGATATGACCCATGAGATACCCAGGCTCACAAGACCCCGATTCTGCCTTTGCCCAGCCGGGAGGGCACTTGAAAAATCCAGTTTCAGAAGACCTCTCGAGCCTTTTTCACGATCCCCACTTCTAAGTCTTATGACCTCTCTGCAGCTCCTCTTCCCGAACAGGACAGGAGGGAGGTTCCTGATAGGATGAGGACTCAGACGTACTGCAAACAGACCTCAGTGCCCCTCTCCTTGCGAGGACAGAGACGCCAGGCAAGGGCCATGAGCCTTGCCCACCCTGAGCTGCGGGATGCAGAAATGCCTCTTCATCGGCCCTTCTCCCTCTTTCCTTCTGTCACTGGAAACGGCAAAGGCTTTCCCTGCAGCCAAGACGCCTGTTCTGCTCAAACCTGCTTTGTCCCTAACAATCCACATCCGGGGTATGCAGGAAGGCCCAGAGGAAGGAACTTGCTGCCCCGGCAGCTGTGGGTGCTCACAGGAAGTGTGTGCTTCTGTTCTCCCTAACTCCTGCCTGTGTTTGCCAAGGACAGGAAGGGCTCGAGACGGGAGAGGGGGAGAGAGAAAGCACCTCCCCATGGGCCTTGGTCATGCTACAAACCTCCATCTCGCTCTCCTGTGGGACTCTGGGCAAGCTCATACATGCGGGTGGTATGGTTTTCGAGCTGCCAGTTTTACGTAGTTAAAGGGCGTGTCACCCTCCAGACAGGGAGTCAGCCACGTGGGGTCCAACAGCCTTAACCACCATGCCACTGGCTGGCCAAAACTCATCTCTCTTTCCCCAAACGACCATCCCTTTCTCTAAGCCTCGGCCATGTATTGGCAAAAAGTCAGCAGAGCAGGAGGCAGGGGAACCCTTCCCACTGCCCCCACCTAGTGAGGGTGACACAGCCGAGCCAGGGACTCCCATGCTGAGCAGTCTTCTGTGGCCGTTCCCAAGTCCTCCCCCTCCGCAGGCTTCAGGCCACAGACGCGGGAAGGATCAGTGCTTTCTGACTCCCGGTACATGGAGACTTCTGGGAAGCTTTACTTTTGATTCAGGATGGCAGACACTCCCTTTCCTGCCTTGCTAAAGGTGCGAAGTAACCACAGGACGGACGCCCTTGCAGGGAGAGAGCTGCAAAGTCTGCCAGGGCCCAGCCACGAGCTGATTGTGTCCTGAGCCCTAGAGACCCAGCCCCGCGTGGGCTTCGAGTCCTGTCCTGGGAGGCGGCGGCACATCCATCAGATGCCGAGACCAGGCCTGCTTGCTCTTTCTAGATGTTAAACATCGGAGTAATCTCCTAGGACGTTACTGAAAATAGGCCTCCCTGAAGCAGGCATGATTACATGCCCTCGAGCCTCAGGAAAGTGCCTGGAGAAAGGCCTTCCCTACCAGGAAGCCCATGCTGTGGCTCCGAATTCAGGTGCTGCCAGTGACACGCAGGGAGAGGGAGGTCATTCAGAGGTGACTAGGCCACGTGGGGTCCTCTCTCAGGAATGGGACTGGCGCCCTTATAAAGGGGCTCAACAAGTTTGTCCCCTTCTTGCCCTTCCACTGTCTGCCACGTGACACATGAGGACACAGCATTCAAATATGCCATCCTGAGGGCACCCCTGACGAGACCCCAAACCTGCAGCTTTATCTTAAGCTTCCCAGCCTCCAGAACTATGAGGAAACCACCTGCTGTTCTGAGTCACCGAGTTCGAGTTCGGAGCTCTGTCACAGCAACACAAACAGACTGAGGCAGCAGGGCGACGGGAAGGAGGGGAGGATGGGCGGCACATTCTAGAAACAGGTGGTGACGCTGCGCAGCACTGAGCATCCACGCTGCGCTTCGGGGGCGCGCGGGGGCCCACCTGCACTCCTTGATCACCTGGTGGATGTCAAACTCGAAGGCTGCCATCAGGATGTTGTCCAGGGGTTCCGGGCTGCTCTCGCTCCCCAGGAACAGGTCTAGGCTGGACTGCAGAAAGGTGACGACCCACTCAACCCCCGGGACACAAGCAAGACTCAAGGGGGCAGGTAAGGCTGCTGAGCAGGGAACGCTGGGGAGGTGACGGGTTCCCTCCCAAGGCTCAGCTCGAGGAGGCCCCGACTGCGGGGGAGGGCACCGTCACCGTCACTCCCACCTATCCTCCCCGGACGGACGCACCTGGGCATAGAAGTGCAGATCAATGGGCTTGACTGTGGGCTGCGAGTACAGGAGCCGCGTCACCAGGAAGTGGTACCAGTTACTCAGCAGCTCCCTGTGCTCCAGCATGGCGGCTTCGTCTCCCAGCATGATCTGACGAGAGACGCTGCCTGAGCCGTGGGGCTCACGCCTCACCCCAGGGCCGACGTCGAACTCTGCCATCTTAGCTGGCGTCGGAGCACACCCTCTCCTTCCCGCGGGGCCTGACGGCCCTGCTGCTGCACCCCGGGGTCATGACCCTGGGGAGCAGGCCCGGCCCACCCAGCGGCCTCCCAGACCTTGCAGAGAGACTCCAGGTGAGGACTGGCAGCGAATGTGCCATCCTGCAGGTGCCGCTCGCACTCCTCATGCCAGTGCTGCCACTTCAGCTCCAGCTCGGTCAGGGTCTGGCTGTTCCCAGGCTGAGGCAGGAGAGGCAGTGAGTCGCATTCCACCCAGCCCTGTGTGTCACCCAGCCACCCGTCCCTGTGCCTCAGCAGGAGCGGCTGCTCCTACGTACACTGAGAATGGGCATGGTCCTCATTAGGTCCCCCAGGATGCGGCACATGTCTGCAGAGGCGGGGGCGACGTCCGCTTCCTTGGACAGCATCTGTCGGGCCTCATCCAGCCGGCCCTGCAGCACCAGGATGGTCACCTGGAAAAGGTCCATGACATAAGCAGTGGCAAGAGACCAGGCCCCAGGGCCGACGCGGACGCCCTTGTACCCTCCTTCCCTCAGAAACGTTTAGCCACCCAGTCTCCTGGCGTGACTGCCTCATCCGTGCTTCAAACTGCCCCAGAGGCGAAGAGTTCATTTAAAACTAAAGAAAATATGAAATAATGAAATAGAAAATGTCAGGATGCCTAACACAAAGTATTGTTCCTAAAATTTGAGTTCGTGTGTACGTGTACATGTGTACACTCGGTATCGACGTGGCTGGCCCCCGTTATTCAGAGCTGTACACGGGAATCTGCCTGCTTGCTGAAATTCCTCTGCTGAGTTCGTGTGTGTGCGTGTACATGTGTACACTCGGTATCGACGCGGCTGGCCCCCGTTATTCAGAGCTGTACGCGGGAATCTGCCTGCTTGCTGAAATTCCTCTGGAGCCCCCAAATCCACGCTGTGGCACTCCACTTTGTGGACGTGTTCAGAGTGACACAAAATCCGAGTTGCTCCACACTTTCCCAGCAGAGGGCAAACAAAGTGCTGCTTTGCCTTCTTGTTTCAGCTCACATTTAAAAAAAAATCTTTACTTATTTATTTTACTCTGAGCAGAGAGGAACAGAGTGACAGTGAGAACGAAAGTGAGAAAGCAAGCCGCCAGGTCTGGGACTGGAACTGCGGCAGGCCATGTGGGAGTCCAGCGCCCTTTACCACCACACCGACCCCTCAGCTCGCATGTTTTAGGTGTCTTTATTGCAGTAACTTCAGTGCCCCATGTTTTGCATCTTGGTACGCTCTGTCGGGCTCCCAAGCATATGCCAGAGCTGCCAGTGTGTGTCTCAGTAAAGCAGGCTGAGGACAGAGACCAGTCACACCTAGTCATGCCTCAAAGTGCTGCGGTCCGGGTTCAGTGCTCAGGTCAAACGAGATGCCTTCCAAGAAAAGCACGTGGGAAACAAAGATGTGCAGCGATCAGTTGTCTGGAATGTGACCAGAGGCACACAGAAACCTGCTCCTGTACTTCACGAGAGCGGTGCTTCAGTGGTCACTTATCTAGTCCTCAAGGCAACTGTACAGACGGCTACTACCACGGACAGTAACAACTGACTGGGGCGCATCCCACGGCCATCGGTGAGGAAGGACCAGTCTGAATGCCAGAGCAGTGGCTGAAAAATCACACCGGGCACATGTATCCTCCTCTGAATTCGAGACCTGTATATCCAAGTGCCCAGTCAGCACCTCCATTAGAACCTCTAAGCAGCATCTCAAGGGGCCAGCAGGTGGCATGGTGGTTAACGGCGCTGGACTGCCACATGGCCGACCACGGTTAGTCCCAGACCTGGCGGCTGGCTCGCTTTCTCACTTTTCCTTTCTTTCTCTGTCTCTCTCTCTGGTCAAATTAAAAAATAAATAAATAAATAACAACAAATTGAATTAATAGATAAATCTTTAAGAGAAAAAAAAATAAAGAAAAGATCCAAGAGTGTCCACATAAGTAGACCCCGGGAGCCAGTGAAGAACTACGGGGTGCGGTATTTGGTGGGGAGTCCTCCCACCCACCAGAGCAGAGACAGCAGAACACACGGCAGAGAGCGGAATGGCCTGTACAGGAGCCTCACCAAGTTCCAGAAGCTCTTGTGTTTGCTCGGATTCTCACTGCCCAGAACTTCTGCCGACAAACTGTCCACCTCACACACGTGCAGCCGGACCCAGTCCAGGAGGTGCAGGAGGAGTGGGCCAGCTGGAAGGAGAGACTCCTGTCACGCACAGAAACCCCAGCATCATCTGCAGCAGTGCCACTTCACCCAAGGTACAGAGAATGCTCGGGCAGACAAGCTGACCACAGAGGCGGCACCTCGTCCCTCTCACGGGCACACATGTAGGCTGGGCTACAAAAACGCAAACTCGTACGGATATGCCCTCTGTGCCGGGCAGCTCCATCTCTCACTGGATCCTAAACGGCCCCCCACCCCTCCCAGCTAAAGGATTCTCAAGTACTCGATGGCTACGTTAGTAACGGCCATTTAGAAAGGGACTGTGCGACTGTGTGCTAAGGATGTGAAGACAAAGGCATGCAGCCGCCTCAAAACCTCCTGGAGAAGGCAGGCCCCGAACAACTAGTCCTAGTTCCAAGTTACTCAGTGCGAGCACAGGAATATGAGGGGAACGCTACGGCTGCCCAGGCACTTACAGGCATTTAACGGCCAACAAATGAAAAGAAACGTGAAAAGAGCCTGCGGCACCGGCACGGACAGCGCATTCACACCAGGACGCTGTACCACCCACAACCCAGATCAAAAGCAACGGAGTAGGACCAGCGGGTGGCGTGGTGGTTAAGGGCACTGGACGCCCTCATGCCCGACCACGGTGAGTCCCGGACTTGGCGACTTGCCTCCTTACTTTCTCTCTCTCACTCTGTCCTACTCAGGTCAAATTAAAATAAGTGAATAAATAGAGAAATAGATCAATCAATCAATAAATACAGTTCAATGAAATAATACTTTTTTTTTTTGTGAGAGGTTTTTGCTATAGGGCGTGTGTGCTCGCCAGCCAGCCAGCCCGACAGAAAGTGAGAATTCACCCCCCAGGGGGGATGGCCACGCTGCAATCCCTTCTCCTCCATTCTCCTCTTGGGATCTCGGGCACACACGCACATGTGCCTGACATAAGTTTAAGCCACGGAGTCCAGGACTCGAACCACAGTCAACTACTCATAGGAGACCGGCGACATAGCCATTACGCTAACTGCTGGTCCCCTGAAATAATTATAAAGAAAAAAAAAAAAGCACAACAGAGTGATTCTTGGGGCCAGCAGGTGGCATGGTGGTTAAAGCAATAGAGTCCAATAGATTCCAAAATGGTTGACTATGGTTTGAGTACTGGACCTGGTAGCTTAAAACTCTCACTGGGAGCATGCGTGCATGACCCGAATCCCAAGAGAATAAAGAAGGGACTACTGCGTGGACATCCCTCCCGGGGTAGGGGGGTGCTTTTCGGCTTTCTGTCTGTCTGTGTCTTCAATAAGCACACGTTCCCCATAGCAAAACTCTTCTCGAAACATTTTTATAAATAAAGAAATTTTAAGGGACAGGGCTCCCAGGGCGACGCTGCCTACCATCTGGTCCCTTGCCATGTCCCTAACACTTTCTCAAGCCTGACCACTCCGTGACACAAATGCTGACCACTGTCACAGCCTACACTAATGTGTTTTCTCACTGCCCTTTGGGGGCACCTGCTGAATGTCCCCAACTTCTAGAAGGCACTCTGTGATTCTCTTTGCAGAATCTGATAAAAGGTCAGGTTTCTCCGGGTGCGCTGGAATGAGTTCCAAGGCTACGTGGATGGAAAGCACTGGAAGGAACACTCTTGACAACGAACGCTCATCACAAGGCAGAGGGGCGGTGAGGACACAGCTGAGGCTGCAGGGGACGCCTGTGGTGCATGCTCACCTGGGGCTACTTCAATGAACAGGATTTCACACAGGTTCCAAATAAGCTCCATAGCGGACAAGATGGAGACCTGGGGAGAAAGGGAGACGAGTTCCACCGGAAGACATTTCTGAGCTCTGCTCTTAGAGCACAGGAATCAAGCAGGGCTTGAACTCATGACAGTCACAGGTTAGCTCAAGTCCCCAGTACTCTCGAGCAGGATTTCCCAGGACAGCCGGGGAAGGACTCTGATGATGGCATATAGTCTGACATTATTTTAGTGGCTGCAGTTTTATTTTATTTTAAAGAACTATTTTATTTAACTTTTATTTATTTATTTTAATTTGACCAGACAAGGGCAGAGAGAGAGAGAGAGAGAGAGAGAAAGAGAGAAAGCAAGTTGCCAGGTTTGGGACTTGAACCATGGTCAGCCATGTAGGAGTCCAGAGGTTTTATCCGCCACGCCACCTGCTGGCCCCTGCAGTTTTGTTTTAATGTGTATCAGGAAAATAAATCAAGCCAGCAGGTGGCACAGTGGTTAAGGCAGCTAGATCCCACAAGGCCAACCACGCAGTTCAAGTCCTAGACCCAGAGGCTTGAAAAACATGCTGGACCCATGTGTGTACATGCCCAAAGTCCTAAGAGAAGGGACTGCAGCATGGTCAACCCCCCCTCCTGGAAGGAGTGATTTCTCACATTCCCTCTCTCCAGTGAGCGCATCACCCTATGGCAGATTTAAAATATACACATGGGGGCCAGCAGGTGGCAAGGAGGTTAAGGCAGCTGGATTTTGCGTGGCTAATGGAGTGGTTCAAGTCCCGGACCCAGCGGCTTGAGAAACATGCCAGGTGTGTCTAAGTGTGCATGCCCAAAATTCTGAAAAGAGGGGACAATGGAGAACAGAAGGAGGCGTGACCATTGCAGGAGCTAGCTGGATCTCACATGGCTGACTGTGCTGTTTGAGTTCCAGCCCCACTGAGTAGTGAAACACACCAGGAGCATGTGCGTGCCCAAATGCCTAAAAGGAGGGGGAGATGAAGGAGAAAGGACTGTGGCATGACCATGCCCATGGGGTGTGCTCTCTTACTTCCCCAACCCCCATCCCAGTAAGTGCATGCCCCGCCACATGCACATATAAAACTAGCACATCTCACTGGTGATCTTGACTCAGTACAGTTGCAAAGTGACTTTAAGGGCCAGCACGTGGCACAGTGGTTAAGGCACGAGACTTCCACATTGCCAAACACAGTTCAAGTCCTGGACACAACGGCTTAAAACTCACGCCAGGCATGTGTGTGTGCATGCCAAAATCCCAGGAGCAGAATGGAGGGGAAGAACTATGGTGTGGCCATCCCCCTGTGGGGGTGATTTCTCACTTGCCCTCTCTCTGTCTCGGCCTTTCTCTCTCCAGTGAGTGCACACACCCTATAATAAAACACTTAAAGAAAGAGAGATGAGCTAAATTCGAGTGAAAGGGACAAATAATTTTCAGAAAAACATTCAGTAAGAAATGTGGAGTTATGGGACCAGCAGGTGGCACGGTGGTTAAGGCGCTGGATACTCCCACACAGCCAACCACGGTTTGAGTCCTGGACCTGGTGGCTTGCTTTCTCACTCCCCATCCCCCGGTCAAATGAAAATAAATAAATAAATAAATGATTTTTTAAGAATAAAAAGAAATGTGGAGTTAGAGCAAAAAAGGGTGAAATTGGTATCCCAAGGACTGATGTTTAGGAAGCAGTCTACTTAAGGCAAAGTCCAATATGAGATCGAAAAATATATCAGATCGGGCACCTGCTCTCAGGAATATCCAGGCTCCCCTTCCCCACCATCATGCCTAGTTCATCAGGGGAAAATAAACACTTCCCTGATTCCGAGACGATGTGCTATTCCCTGTTCACTACTGCAGTTGAAAAGGAATCAGGATTCTACCAAGGAAACGTGCTTTTCTAGCTCCGGGGAAGCACAGCCACTTGCAGTGCAATGAAAGCACGGAGCTCGTGAGCTGAGCTGATGGGACCAGGCAGTGGTTCCAAAGCTCGTGCTCGCTCTCAGGCCACAACCCCTCAACACAATGTGGTTAGACTTTGTATTTTCCCTAAGAACTGAGACCCCATACAAGCAGATCCTTGAGCTCTAACACGCTAGACTTAGAAGGAGGCACCAGGAAGTCCAAGACGATCCCTGTCCCCACGGAGCTCTCTACCGGGAAAGAGACTCCTGTCTGACAGGGACTACAAAGCCACCCAGGAGGATGCCGAGGACACGGAAGCCACAGCAGTGTCCGCGCATCAAAGGCACACCCCTTACCTGGCTGCTGAACTGGCGGCCACTGGCGGGATCTTTAGCAGCAACTGCAACGAGGAAACATTGTGAGCAACAGAACTTGCAGCTTTGTTCTCACAGCTGCGCGGACCAGGTTCCACGCTGCCTTTATTTTAATGACCATCCACTTCCATCTTAAATTTTCTAATGTTTCCTATTTCTTTCTTCTAGATCAATGATTCTTAAACCAAGGTCCTCAAGTTATATATAAGCAGTGCTTTCAACTGCAACATGGTCACCTAAAAGGTCTCTGGCCAAGATGTCACGTCACACAATTCTCCACCAGGTACCCACAACCCCACAGCTCCCATGTTCACGTGAGCCCACCTCACAAGGTGAAGGGGGAACAGTGCTATTTTCCAAAGAGCCTTATCCGGCCCCCTCCCTCGTGCCTGTCACCAGTCAACTCAGGGCGGACTGACCTGGAAAACGTACTTGAGATGACGGCCAAAAATGAAGGCGTGTGTAAAACAGAAAGTACAAGTTGTATACAAGAATGTCACCCAGGTTCACCTCACGGCACGCACAGCCACGTCTTCCTTCAAATACTAACAAATGCACACACACAAAATGCTTACTTGCAACCTGATGCATTTCCTCCATACACGCTCTTATGACCGATCGGTAGTTTTTACTCACTCGAACCAACCTACAGAAAGGGAAGACAAACACAGTGAGTCTGGAACACCTGTGGCGTTAGGGGGGAAGCACTCACAAACAGTAAAGGGTGGCAAGGTGCCACAGCAAGCCACGCTCCAAGAGGCAGACTGGCACGGGGAGGCTTTGGCTTGTATCTGGAGCCCTCACTGAGTACACTGGGTGCAGGGGGAAGCAGGTGCAGAGCTAACTAAAGCTGACGGTGGCCTGGTGTCAGGACCCTCTCCAATTCATTCTGTCTGTCTGTCTTGCTCATGGTGAAAATAAACCTAAAAATCTATGTAGGAACCAGCAGATGGCATAAAGGTTACATTGCTGGACTCCCACAGTCCAGCATGGTCCAAGTCACAGACCCAGTGGCTTGAAACACACTGGCACATGAGCATGCATGTCCAAGGTCCTAGGAGGAAAATGGAGAAGAGACTGCACCGTCATCATTCCCCTTGGGGTGATTTCTCGCTTTCTCTGTCTCTCCAGCGAGTACATGTTCCCTATAGCAAAATTCTTTCTCTCTCTCGTTTTTTTTTTTTTTTTTTTTTGAGAGATTTTCACTGTAGGGCTCGTGCACTCGCCAGACAGACAGAGAGAGACATAGAGACAGAAAGCGAGAAATCACCCCCCAGGGGGGATGGTCACGCCGCAATCCCTTCTTCTCCATTCTCCTCTCGGGATCTTGGGCATGCACGCACACGCGCCCGGCGTGAGTTTTAAGCCACCGGGTCCGGGACACGAACCGCGGTCGACTACGTGGGAGTCCAGCGACATAGCCATTACGCTAACTGCTGGTTCCCCAAAATTCTTTCTCTCAAAAAAATAAAAGAAAATTAAAAAGGAGTTTGCTAAAACAAAGACAAGAGCAAACCTGAAAGAGCACCTAATGTTCCAAAGCTGCAAAAACTTCGGCAACAAAGCGGATGAAATACACTCCCCACAACTAAAATGAACGCCTGCACTCAGCTTAGATCCACGGATGGACACTTTAGTGGAAGGAAACTGGAGGAGGGTTTGCATAGTGTCAAAATCTCTCCGCCGTTACACTTACTTTGTTTTCCTGTGGACACTGCTCATGGGCGTTACACTTAGTATTTACAAGGCAAAAATGGTAATTTCATAGTGAAAAAGTCCAGGAGAAACCACACTGACCACGTGAACAAGTGGTCACCAGTAATGAAACATCACCAGGACCGGCAGTTGAAGTAATGGCTATGTCACTGGATTCCCATGTAGTCGACCGTAGTTCGAGTCCCGGACCTGGTGGCTTAAACTTACACCAGACGCGTGTGCATGCGTGCCCAAGATCCCGAGAGGAAAAAGGAGAAGGGATTGTGGCGTGACCATCCCCCCCGAGGGGTAATTTCTCACTTTCTGGCTTTCTATCTTTCTGGTGTGTGCACACGCCCTATAGCAAAAACCTCTCAACAAAACCAAACATCGCCATCATGAAGCCCACGGGAGACACGACGTTCTGAGATGCACACATCACCACCTCTGTGGACTTCCTGCCAGTATCTGCATAAGCTCATGCGCTTGCCAGAAAGACAGAGAGAGGCAGAGACAGAAAGCGAGAAATCACCCCCCAGGGGGGATGGCCACACCGCAATCCCTTCTCTTCCATTCTCCTCTCGGGATCTTGGGCACGCACGCACACGCGTCCAGCATGAGTTTAAGTCACCTGGTCTGGGACTTGAACCGCGGTCGACTACATGGGAGTCCAGCAATACAGCCATTATGCCAAATGCTGGTCCCTTTTTAAAAATATTTTATTTATTTTTGCCATAGGGTATGTGCACTTGCCCTAGACAGACTTTCCTCTCTCCCTCTCTCCTTCCCTCTTTCTTCCCCTCTTTCGACATTCACACACATGCATGCACACATAAGATCACCATATTGACCATAAGGACTTATTTGTGAAAAGCTTATCAAGAGGCCAGCAGGTGGCACTAGATCCACATGGCCGACTCCAGGGTTCAAGTCCTGGACCTAACACCACCACCTAAATCCTGAGAGAAGAATAGAGGAGAAGGGATTGTGAAGTGGCCACCCCCACTGCAGGGGTGACTTTTCACTCTCCCTTTCTGAATCTTTCTGGAAAATCTCTAGGCCACATGCCCTATAACAAAAACAAAACAAAACTAACACTTAAATAGCCAACATTTTCTTCTTTATAGAATAAATGAAATAGGCATATATTCAAAGAAAGCTTATCAGGCCTGCAAGCCAATCGGCAGCATCCACATACTCCCTCAGACTTCCCTTCCCAGCAACACACACTGCCCAACCAGAATCAGGAGTCCCTACTTCTCTAGACAAGCCCCCGCTGTGCAAAAGAACAGGAGGCACTTCATTTGTTTTTTCATGGTCTAACGGTGGACCCCAGCCCAAACCAGCAGCCTACTTACTGGGCTTTTCTGGATTTTCCTGTAAATTCTTCTTCAAGTCTCTGCAGGCCCACAAAGATCCCATGGGATTCATTGAAAAGTTTTCTCAAGATCTGAGAGTGAACATCCACATCCTTGCGGATGACGTAGATAAAGGGACAGCTTGGGACCGCCTCTGATTTTTCTGCAATAGAAAAAACAAGAAAAAAAATTAAGTCTTAATCCGCCAGATCCAGGACTTAAACCACAGTCCATGTGGGAGTCCAGCACCTCAACTACCATGCCACCTGCTGGCCCCAATTTTTTTCTTTTTTGACAGAGCAGGCACAAATTTAGAGAGAGAGAACAAGACAGACAGAAAGACAGACAGAGGCCCTCAACAGGGCCTGGTCATACCACAATCCCTTCCCCCATTACTCCAGCCCATCAGATACTGGGCACTCACACGTGCCCAGTGTTTCAGACTGACCAGGCCAGGGATTCATTCATGGTCACCAGGTGGGTCTGGCTTTTCTCAACAGCACTTAGCACTGTGCAACGATACTACCCAGAAAGGACAGTTCTTACCTATCAACTCTGGAAAAACCACATCACCTAGAAATTGCATCTGGGGCCAGGCAATGCTGCAGTGGTTAAGACAACTGGATCCCACATGGCCGACAATGCAGTTTAAATCCCAGACCCGGCGGCCTCAGGAGCACACTGGGCACATGCACATATGTGCCCAAAGACCCAGGCGAAGAATGGAGGAGAGGAGATTACAATGTGGCAGTGTCATTCTTCCTCCCTAACAAAATAAAGGGAGGAAGAAGTGACATAAACTGGACAGTGGCTCAGTGGTGAAACGCATTGCACTAGGAAGCAGACCCACATGGGAAAGCGACGACTTACTCACATGCCCATAATGCAGGGCTAGCTAAGACGGGATTGACTGCAGAGTCAACACACTGTGGGGTGTGTCTGTCTGTCTGTCTCTCTCACACTGTGGGGTGTGTCTGTCTATCTCTCTCTCACACTGTGGGGTGTGTCTGTCTCTCTTTCTCTCACACTGTGGGGTGTGTCTGTCTCGCTCGCTTTGTCTATGTCTCCCTCCATCATACTTAGAGAGAAACTTAAAAAATTAAATAGGGGTGGGACCAGCAGTTGACATAATAGCTACGTTGCTGGACTCCCATGTAGTTGACTGTGGTTCAAGTCCCGGACCCAGTGGCTTAAACTCACGCCGGCATGTGTGCATGCGTGCCCAAGATCCTGAGAGAAGAATGGAGAAGGGACTGCAGCGTGGTTATCCACACTGGGGGTGATTTCTCGCTTTCTCTCTGTTTCCCTCTGTCTTTCTGGCGAGCGCATGAGCCCTATGGCAAAAAACTTCTTCCCTCCCCCCAAAAAATATATACACACACACACACACACATATTTAATAGGGGATAGGAGTTGGTGTGCTGGTTGAGCCACTCAACTCTCACATGATCGAGTGCAGTTAGAGTCCTGGACCTGGTGGCTTGCTTTCTTGATTTCCCTCTCTGGTAAATTTTAAAATAGTAATAAATGGGACTAGCAGATGGTGTAATGGCTGTCACTGGACTCTCATGTAGGCGACTGCAGTTCAAGTCACTTAAGATTGATTTATTTTGGGGGCTGGCAGGTGGCGTGGTGATGAGGGGTCTGGATTCCTACTTGGCTGACCACAGTTTGAGTCTCAGACCTGGTGGTTTGCTTTCTCGTTGTCCCTTTCTCCCTCTGTCTCTGTCTGGTCAAATTAAACAATAATAATTACAAATGGAATTAAATAAATAATGAAATTTTTTAAAGATTTATTTTTAATTTTATTTATTATTATTTAAAATTTTTTTGAGAGTTTTTTTTGCTATAGGGTGCATGCACTAACCAGAAAACAGAGACAAAGACACAGAAAGCAAGAAATCATCCCCGAGGGAGGATGGCCACGCCACAATCCCGTCTCCTCCATTCTCCTTGGGATCTTGAGCACGCACGCACATGTGCCTGGCGTGAGTTTAAGCCACCAGGTTCAGGACTTGGATTGCGACATGGCCATCCCCCCGGGGGGTGATTTCTCACGTCTTTCTGTCTCTCTATCCTTCTGGCAAGTGTACACGCCTTCTAGCTAAAACCTCTCCAAAAAAAAAAAAAAGAAAGAAAGAAAACCTTTCAGGTCAGCCGTGGCGTGGTGTTTAAGGAGCTAGAACCCACAGGGCCGACTGGTCGAAAACCTGGAACCAGCAGCTTGAAAGACACACCAGGTGCATGTACATGCAGGCCCCAAATCCGAAACGGAGAAAAAGGCATTGCAACATCACCGTCCCCCAAGAGTGTGCCTTCTCACTTTCTCTCTCTCCCCCACCCTCTGTCTCTGGACAGCACACAGTATACGTCTTCCGGGCAGGAAAAAAAATGAGTAAGAGAACCTTAAACACTAGGAAGGCTATTGCTAAATTTTTTTCCGGGAGTCATCATCTTCCAGATCACATAAAACAACGAAAATCTAAAACAGTTAAGTTTCAAAAACAAAAATGGTAGAAAAATACATTCCATCATTCCGTGCCTCAGTTACTCAAGTCTGCGAAGAGAAAAACCACCAAGTGGACCAAGATGGATAACATGGAAGGGAAAAAAGAAACAAAACCAAACCTACCTTTATGGTTCAAAGAGGTTTCCCACACCAGCATCTCCCCTGGACCCCAATCGAAGCACATTTGCTTCTTCTTAGAATTCACACCTGGAATTAACTAGTGAAAATAAGACACAGAACCGTTATTACACTGACCAACAACTCTCATTCCCAACTGACTAGCAAGAAAACTCTAGACATCGCAGTCATGAAATTATACATACTGATTTATCCACTCAGTCCCGGGTGGCTGAGCTCAACCCTAACCCCCCTGAATCAGCAAGTGAGCTCTGCCAGCCTCCTCAACACAGCCTGGCAAAAACCAAACTTACAACCTCACTCACCTCCTCAACACAGCCTGGCAAAAACCAAACTTATAATCTCACTTTTTTTTTTTGTTTGTTTTGAAGATTTTTGTCATAGGCATGTGGACTTGAAGATTTTTGTCATAGGCATGTGGACTTGCCGGAGAAAAGTCATTCCCAGAGGGGACGGTCATACCTCAAACCCTTCTCCAGTCTTCTCTCAGGATTTTGGGCATGCACGCGCCACCAGGTTGGGGACTACAACCAGGCAGTCGGCCATGTAAGGCCCAGCCTCCTTACCCGACACAATACCTGCGGGCCCTACTCATTTCTTACACTGCAGGTTAGAGAGCTGTAGTTCAGAAAAGTGGAAGTTGAAAAATGAAAAAGGGGGCTACCTGATGGCATGGCAATAGGGTGGCTGAGTCCCAGCGCCTGCGGCTTGAGAAACAAGCCTAGTGCGAGGGCACACATGCCCGAATCCGAGAGCAGAATGGAGAGGAGACTGCGGGGTGGCCATCCCCCTGGGGGGTGCTTTCTCACTTCACCCCTCTCTCTTACTCACTCAAGGGAGCACACACCCCCCTGCAGTGAATTTAAAACATCAAATAAGGGCCAGGAAATGGCATGGTGGTTGGAGCACTGGACACTCCTACTTGGTCAACCATGGTTCAAGTCCTGGACCTGCTCTCAGGGGGCTTGCTTTCTCACTTTCCCTCTCTCTTACTCTGTCTCTGTCTCTTTCTGGTCAAATTCTAAAAAATAAAAAATGAATGAATAAAATTAAATTAAATTATTTTTTAAATGTTTTAAAATAACAAATAAAGAATGTAACTTTTCTTCACTAAAAAAACACAAGAGATCTTCCATTCCAAGGTTTCTGTGCCATCTCTGTGACAATGGCTAAACTATTGTGGAGTGGCCATTGGGGGGAGGGGCTATTTCTCACTTTCCCTCTCAATGTCTGTCTCTTGCTCTCTGGCAAATGCTCATGCCCTAAGGCAAAAATCTCTACAACAAAAAATAAAGGAAGAATTAATCACATACACAATGCTGAGCAATATCTATAAAATACAAAGAAAAAAAAGCACAGTAGAAAATTCTAACTTTGGGACCAGTAGGTGGCGTGATGGTTAAGACACTGGACACTCCCACATGACTAACATGGTTCGAATCCTGGACCTGGTGGCTTGCTTTCTCACTTTCTCTCTCTCTCTGGTCAAATTAAAATAAATGAATGAATGAATGAATAAATTTAAAAATTAAATAAACAAATTTTTTTTTTTTGGAGAGGTTTTTGCTATAGGATGCAAGCGCTCACTAAAAAGACAAAGAGAGACAAAAAGTGAGAAATCACCCCCCTAGGGAAGATGGCCATGCTGCAATCCCTTCTCCATTCTGCCCTCAGGATCTTGGGCACACTCACACACGCGCCCAGCTTGAGTTTAAGCCACCAGGTCCAAGACTCGAACCACAATTGACTACATGGGAGTCCAGTGATCAAGTCATTTCGCCAACTGCTGGTCCCATGAATTTCTAGTTTTTTTCACAAACTATTTTAAAATCTAATGGGTCCAGCTGAAATGTACAGCCATCTCAACTTTCTAGAAAACCAAAGCACAGGATCAGGTAACTTAACTGTTTAGCGAGGTTTGTAAGTGACCAAAAGCTAAGAAATGCAGGCCTCAGAAAGCCTATCATGAATAGATACCTGATTTAAGAAGGTCGGATTGAAGCTTTCCTAAGAAACTGCTGAGCTTTCATTTGAAAAGTGAGATAAACCAGAGAGAAGAGCGGAGCATTCTCACTTTGAGAACGGCAGATACTTTGTATCTAAAACCCGCCAGTATTTATAAATATCACAGATCATCCAGAACTGATACACTGATAGTTCCAATAGGATTGGAGGCAGACCAATAAAAACCAGAATAGTCTCCCGAGAGAAAGAATACGTTTAAAAAATCTTGGGCCAGTATGGCAAGACAGGTAGAAGCTAAGCTCGCGGTGCTGCAGGTAGAGCTTAGTTCTGCTCGAAGAAAAGTAAGTCAAAATTCCCCGCTTGGTCCGAGCCCACTCCAAAGCCCAAGAGGAAAAGCCAGCGAAGCAAAAAGGTTAAGAAGACAAGAGAGAAAAGGAGATGAAGCGGGGCCTCCGAGGCGAGGGCTGGTGAGCATGCAGGGGAGCGGGAACCCAGCGACCACTACGACCCGAACCTAGTTCCCGGTTAACGTAGCGCCCTCCGGGCAGAGGCGATCGAGCCGCGGGAAGAGGACGGGCTTCTCGAGGCCCGCCGGGAGGGAGGCAAGCCTTAAGCGGAGAGGCAGACGCAGTCCTCAGACCGCGAAGGCAAGCAAGGCCATTCCGGGCGCTCTTACAGTGACTGTCGGCTCGCCATCCAGCTCCTCCATAGCGCCGCGCCCCCACCACCTGGGACTCGCCGCGCAGCCGAAGAGTCCGCGCCCTCGGCTCGCGCTCAGAGCCCACTGCGAGAGGACCCCGCCCTCCGGCAGCGCCTGCAGGCCCACCGCCCGAATGCCGCAGGGCCTCCCCTCCCCGCCACCACCCACCCTCTGCGGCCTTCCATGTGCATCCCTCTTTCCTGGGCTCGTTAGCATGGCAGGGACGACAGGAGTAGAGCAGTCTGTCCTCGCAGTAACTCTCTCGCCAGGTCAGGCGGCGCCGCGGACAGCCCCACGCCAGGCAGGGAGAAGGCCCCCGGGAGACGGCGGGACCACCGCGGGCTCCGAGGCGGGACGGCCGCGCGCACAGAGCTGGAAAGGGTATTCTCGGCTATGGACCCGAGCGAGACTCGGGCTCACTTAGGCCTCTGCCTGGCTTTGGCTGTCCTGCGGATCTTCACTTAGGATCGTCGCGGCCGCGCCCAAGCACCGGCGGCCACACGGGCGCGTGTTGGGAAGCGGCCGCCACCACTTTCACTCCAAAACACGCAGGAGACGCGCGGACGGAATGGACGCAACTGAGACAGCTGTGAACTCGAGACGCTAGACTTGCTAAACACAAATTCAGGTTTTGTTATCTCCTAGGAAAAGAAAAAAACTTGAAAGTTCAATTATTTTTTGAATAAGACACGTATAGATAACATGAGCCCTAAATTTCCGAATAGGGAACTCTGAAAGAACTGAAGATAATTTGTGACTTGGAAGTAAAGCATTAGGGCCAGCATGTGGCGGTGCTTAAGGTTCTGGGCCCCACACGGCTGATTCCGTAGTTCCAGTCCAGATGCAGTGGGCCTGAAAACCACACTGGTTTCGTGTGCATGCAGTGCCCAAATTCCCAAGAGGAATGGAGAAGAGATTGCGGGGTGCCACCCCTCCTGGGGGCGGATTTCTCAAGTTCTCTCTCTCTCACAAGAGCACATGCCCTATGGCAAAAATCTTTTTTAAAAAAGTCGGGAACCAGCAGTTAGCGTAATGGCTATGTCGCTGGACTCCCACGTAGTCGACCGCGGTTCGTGTCCTGGACCCGGTGGCTTAAAACTCACGCCGGGCGCGTGTGCGTGCGTGCCCAGGATCCCGAGAGGAGAATGGATTGCGGCGTGACCATCCCCCCTGGGGGGTGATTTCTCGCTTTCTGTCTCTATGTCTCTCTCTGTGT